TCTTAGCTGGAATGTGTTGAAGGGTTTAATCAGGGGCAGCTCAGCTCACTTTTCCCAAAGTTCAAGGAAAGATGAATAGTACCCACAATGCTAAGTGGCCGCAGATGGTTTGGTATCTTGCACCTTTTGCCTATGCACTTTGACAATGCTATGGATGCTCAGCAAAACTCTCACCTTACAACACAGTGTTGTTCCAGGGACCCTAGCACTAGTGAAACTCTTGAGGGTTGGAGTCCAATGTAGAATGACTAACCTCATGAGCTCTGGGACATACTCAAAGGCTGTGTCTCCACTGGACCCTTTTTCCGGAAAAGGGATGCAGATGAGACAAGTTGGAATGGCAAATGAAGCGGGGATTTAAATTTTCCCCGCTTCATTTGTATAACCATGGCTGCCGCTTTTTTCCGGCTCGGGGCTTTGCCGGAAAAAAGCGCCAGTCTAGACGGGGATCTTTCGGAAAATAAAGCCTTTTCTGAAAGGTTCCTTATTCCTCTTAAAATCAGGAATAAGGGATCTTTCAGAAAAGGCTTTATTTTCCGAAAGATCCCCGTCTAGACTGGCGCTTTTTTCCGGCAAAGCCCCGAGCCGGAAAAAAGCGGCAGCCATGGTTATACAAATGAAGCGGGGAAAATTTAAATCCCCGCTTCATTTGCCATTCCAACTTGTCTCATCTGCATCCCTTTTCCGGAAAAAGGGTCCAGTGGAGACACAGCCTTTGAGTATGTCCCAGAGCTCATGAGGTTAGTCATTCTACATTGGACTCCAACCCTCAAGGGTGTAGCTAAAAGAGATGGCCTTGTAGCTAAATGGGGCTACTCTAACGGCAACCCCAGGTATCAGTCTCAAGTTTTCACTTAAAAAGGTAATCCCATATTGAGGGGCAGAGAAATACAGCACCCATGGGAAGTGTTGTGCAGTCCTACACTGGCTCCCGTGTGCAATGTGGAGCTAGCTACATTCTTCTCCATTCTTACTTGAGCCTACTCAACAAGACTGGCAAGAATCCAGGAGAGTATTAGAAAGGTATTACCTCTCCCACCGGCTAGGTGTCAAGGCTGTGCCATAAATTAAGGAAAGATCCACCTGGCTGTGGCATTTTATGGAGCCTATGTCATCTGCCACCTGACAGAGCCATATAAAATCCCACCTGGAGTGAAGCATAGTGAAACTGTGTTTGCAGGGAATCTGAATTGAAGTCCCCATCTGTCTGAATACATGGCAAAACCATGAGTGCAACCCTGCTTCCAGCAATTCCTCTCCTTCTAGAGCAGCTGCTCTGTGCAAATGACCTCACTATGAAAGGAATCCCATCACAGCTGAGTGCCAGGGCTGAAAAACACATCAATATAATAGAGTATGTCTCATGCCCTTATTGCTAGGGTCCTCTCATGAATGGACCATGGGTGTGTCCTGCAACCATAAAACAGACCACCACAGCTGATCACCAAGGCTGGATTCCTGTCCTGCCTCCTCTCTCTGGCATCTCTCCCGGAGGTGTGGGGTGTGTCATGTTTTCTCCTGAAGTATTTGCCCCTGACAACGATACTGCATTTAAAAGCTTACATCAGTCTAGTTGCTTCTATCAGTCAGGGCAGCGATCCAATGGCAGGATTTCTCCAGCCTGACAGGAGACTGGGATTGTTTCATATGCTATAGCTTCCCCCAACTAACGTAATGTATCAGCTAGCAGTTCAACACTAAATCTGCTCCTGCTTAATGTACAGGAACAAGAGAAGCTGGTTGTGGCTTTGAGAAAACACAGCCACCAACCTGAGAAGCTGCCTCCTGGCACCAGCTCCAAGGAGTCTAACAGCCAAACCATGGCAAGCTCTGACAAATCCTCCTAGAGAAAATAAAGAGAGAAGGGCACGTCTCTCTGGAACAGCTGCTCTCAAAAACCAGAACATGAGGTCATCGAACAGAATTACTTTAAAATAAGGCCTCTCATCACTAATGGCACAATCACTTTAACTGACAGCTTAATGGGTGACACAAACCTCTTGACACTGGAGTCATCAGCTAAATCAAACCCACAAGGCACTGGGATGAGAAGGCATACTTTCCTGTTCTTCAAAGCAAATGGCAAACTTCCTTACTTGTTTGCAGTGGTTAGCCTCCCATTTCCTTCATAAGATCATCAGAATTGGACCTCACAAAGGACTGATTAATTCCCGTAGGGGGCAGCATACAGATGGCAGTACCTTACACTAGCAGTGAGAAAATAAACTTTTGAGAATACTCCATGGCTGAGTCTAGACTGGCAAGTTTTTCCGCAAAAGCACTTGCTTTTACGGAAAAACTTGCCAGCTGTCTATACTGGCCTCTTGAATTTCCGCAAGAACACTGATGATCTCATGTAAGAAATCAGTGCTTCTTGCGGAAATACTATGCTGCTCCCGTTCAGGCAAAAGTCCTTTTGCGCAAAAGCTTTTGCTCAAAAGGGCCAGTCTAGACAGCTCAGATTTGTTTTGCACAAAAAAGCCCTGATCACGAAATGGCGATCAGGGCTTTCTTGCGCAAAACTGCGTCTAGATTTGCAAACTTTTCCGTTAAAAGCATTTGAGGAAAATCATGCCAATCTAGATGTGTTTCATCAAGCAGTTTCTTGAGGAAAATCATGCCAGTCTAGATGTGTTTCATCAAGCGGTTTTCTTATGAACTTGGCATAGCTAGTTCTGGAGGGGTTCTATCCTTTTCATTTTTAATTGACAAAGGCAAGGGGATACAGTCGTTGTGCCAGTGAGATGCTCTCCATTGTTATACGGAGTTTATTTTGCTGTAGCGATATACAGTGGTGCAGGAACTATTTTTAGGGTGGGGGTGTTGAGCTGCACCTCCCCCACCTCGACTACCCATGGCTATTGCTATGTAATGTACTAACTAAATCCCAGACTCTATTTCCCCACCAAAAGATACTCTGAAGCCAATGGGAATGGCCTGTCAGCAAGAGACGTGGGCACTGGATGAGATGAAATCCAAGTCATCCTTCCTGTCTGTACTTCAAAAGGGTGCCATCCAGGCCAAGGGACCACCATGTAGTGTTTAGAAGATTAGACACATGGGCTATGTCTAGACTACAGGGTTTTTCCAAAAGAAGTGGACTTTTTTAAAAAAAACTTCACCTGAATCTAGACTGCTGCCGCGTTCTTTCGAAATTAAAGAATGTGGCTGTTTTTTCGACAGCGGTAAACCTCATTTTACAAGAAAGAATGCCTTTTTTCAAAAGAGCTCTTTCAAAAAAAGGCATTTTTGACCGCAAACAGAGCTTTTGCGAAAGAGAGCATCCAGATTGCCTGGGTGCTCTCTTTCGAAAAAGCTGACTGCTTTTTCGAAAAAGTTGTGGCTGTCTAGACAATTTCTTTTGAAAGAAGCTTTTTTTCACTGCCACGTTTTCCCAGCCAAAACGCTGCCAGGAGTTATCCCACACCCCATGTGCTGGGCCAGTGAGGTGTGTTTCCCCTAGCATTGGCAGCCCTGGGCCTGGCTCAGAATGAAGTGATCACAGAGTACAAGCAAGGCGTCGAAGCGCTGGAGTCATTCTAGGACCAAGGCCAGGGCAGGAACAGTGACTGTGCCTCCCGAGGAGGTGAGGTGAGCGGCGAGCTGCTTGACTGTGCCTCCCGAGGAGGTGAGGTGAGGTGAGCGGCGAGCTGCTTAAATCCAGACATCCTGCTTACCAGAGAGTATGGGATGCCCAGCTCCATCCCCACATGGATGAAATTCTTGAGACCAATAAGCCCAGGCCCAAATGGGAGCTAAGCATCAGCACCAAAGAGTGGGGGAGCTGTGCAATGGGGAGATGGCAGCAAAGTGAAGTAAGAGCCTGGGGGAAGGGTGTCCTGAAAATAAGGCAGCAAGGCCCATACCATGACCCCTGCTCCTGCCTATCTGACAAGCTGCTGCCACACTACCTTCTGCCTGTCCTCACCACGGAGGGGACCTCTGCCATGGGGCACCAATGCATTTCTTTTCAGACTGAACTTCACGGCAGCTGGCTCTCAGCCCCAGGGGAGTTTAATCCTCACCGTTAATAGAGGTAAATTAGGTGCCTGACCCACCCCTCCACATTCAAGGGAGTGTCCCAGAAGGGATGTCTTAATTAAAAGCCTATCCCCCGCATTAATATCTCAGGCCCTGGGAAAGAGGAGTCCGAGATATCTTTGTCGACTGTCGGCATCACATTGCCCAGGCCGGGGCTCTGCAATTGTTCCTCTGCCCTGTGGCCTGCTTCCATGGGAGCAAGAGTGTGGCTGAAAAATGGGGCCCAGACATCCACTCACCCTGAGTGGCGCTGCTAATCTCACGCACACGGCTGGGGACATCAGTCACTGATAAGACAGACCCCAAGGATGGGGGAGATTCATCAGCAGATGAGCAACAATCACTGGTGGTTCTTGTCAGTGCGCCAAGAGGAGCTGTCATGGTTCATCAGTGAGCTGGGTATTTCTGTTCAGGACATCACCACTCAGCTAGGGCAGCAACCCCATTAAATTCTCTCAATAAACAAGCACTTGAATCTAAGCTAGTTAGTTAATTACCAGCTGTGTTAGACTTGAGTTATGTTAATGACTAATCCATCACAAATTGGTGACAAGTCCCCGAACGACTCAGGGGACTAGGAAGCAGAGTCATTACCACACAGGCGCAGCCGTGGGTGGGTCTGAGTGGGCCGTGGCCCATCCACTTTGCACCCAGAGTGGGGGGCCACTCGCCCCCTGCCACACCACCCAGTGCTCCAGCTGGGGAGTGGGACAGGGGCACTGCAACTTACCCCAGCCCATTTTGCCCAGCATTACAGCCAGGGAGCACGGAATCAGGGCATAACCCTGCTCCCATTTTGCCCAGCATTACAGCCAGGGAGCAGGGAATCAGGGCATAACCCATCATTGGCCACATACCCGAAGTTGGAGCCCACCCAAGTGGGCCCTTCTAGCTACATCACTGCACCACCAGCTCAGCTTTCCATACTGGCAAACATGCACAGATGATTGGAGCCCACCCAAGTGGGCCCTTCTAGCTACATCACTGCTCAGCTCAGCTTTCCATCCTGGCAAACATGCACAGATGATAATGGGTGATGTATGGCTCTGTGGGTAAGTGCACAGATTCTGCTGAGTTAAGAATGTACTTGGACTTAGCCATTTTGCCAGGCCCAGGTAGGTAGTGACTGAGTTTTGCATTTTGGTGAACCACAGGAAACAAGATGGTGAGTCTTAGAGCAGTTACTTGCACACAATAAAAGCACCACAACTGGTAGATTTCCTCGGGCTCTCAATGCCTGTGGAAGTGGTGGATGCTTCCCAACCAATGGGAACTGGGCTCTGTCCCCACCACATTCATATCACACAGGTCACTGAGTAGCAGGCGGTGATGTCTTTTGGTCACTACCAGCCAGTTCTGGGTCTGAATCTGTTCAGGGGTAAAAGGGTTTGTGCCCTGAGCCTCTCTGCTATCCCCTCTCCCTGTGCGAGGCCCATAGTAGCTGTTGTTCTTACACAGAGGGGGACAAGATGGGAAGAACTTACAGCCTGTTCCCCACTTTCAGCAACGGGATTTTGGAAGGATGACAATGATCCCCTTGCAGCTTGCAGAACAAGTTCACTTTGTGTTATCTCAGGGGCACCGCTCACAGGCACTTCAAGGGTTAGCTCATCTGTGTGTCTCTGAGCCGCCTGCTTCTCCACATCCTCCTGGGTTTTGGTACCTGGGAACTCAACTTGGGTGGAGAATCTCTGCAGGTCTAGCTCGGTGCACTCCACTGGGGCATGGGGCCACTTGGGCTGCATCTCGGAGGCACATGATGAGAGAGGAGTCGGGGCCTCTGTGAATCCAGCTGGGTCATGCCGGGCATCTGAGGATGAACAGCCACCTGCAGAACAGTCGCTGCTCTCTGAGTTTCTTATCAGGGGTTGGGTCTCCAAGATGCTCCTTGCCAGCTGGAATTTAGGACTGGAGCTGACGGCTATCACCTGCGCATTGGGCTGGAGAGCAGGGATGTGCAGGCCTATGGCTTCACCATCCGAAATGAACTGAACTGGCTCAACAGGACCTGGAAGCAGAAACCTCCTGGCTTAAAAGTACAGGGGTTCCCCCCCCCCAAGCTTCCCCACGGCCTGGGCTCCCTCCAATCAGCCATTCCTTTAAACCCCATCTCCACAGGGCATTGCACTGCAGCTGCTTGTCTCCAGCCAGAGAGGACAGGACTACTCGGTGCCTTTTGTCCATGAGGTGACAGTAACCATTGTTGAGCAAAGCAAGGCTCCCCGCTCTTCTGGGGCTAACCACCAGCCCTTCTCCCCAGAAAGCACTCCCTTCTCCCCAGCCCACACAGCCCCAGGTGAGACACACTGAAGCTGGCCGAGAGGAACCTACATGTTCTTGGTGTGAGTGCAAACGTCTTTTGAGTTCAAAACCATCCCCAGGCTTCCACCCTTCATCCAGAACCTAGAGGAAGATTCCTAGTGGCATTGGGCTCTTCCACCTCCATTTTCCCAACTTCTGGACACGTGGGCTATGTCTAGACTGGCATGATTTTCTGGAAATGCTTTTAACGGAATGGAAAATGGAAAAAAGTTTTCCATTTTCGCGATCCGGGCTTTTTTGTGCAAAACAAATCTCAGCTGTCTACACTGGCCCTTTTGCGTAAAAGTTTTGCGCAAAAAGGACTTTTGCCCGAACGGGAGTGTCAAAGCTTTTCCGGAAAAAGCACTGATTTCAGACAGTAGAACGTCAGTGCTTTTGCGGAAATTCAAGCGGCCAGTGTAGACAGCTGGCAAGTTTTTCCGGAAAAGTGGCTGATTTTTCGGAAACAGTGGCCAGTCTAGACACAGCCCAGGAGTGACCCTGGTAGCAGAGATTTTGATCCCCCCAGGGGTTGCTCCTTTCTGCCTGAGGAATGGAAACTGAGCAGACATTAGCGTGTGGGGGTCACACCCCAGCCTGATCTCCCCACCCCCCCGATCCAAGCAAAAAGAGCAACAAGGGAAGTTACCTTCTGCTTGTCTGGAGCAAGGGCTCAGGTTCTCCACACCCAAGCAGCAGGGACTAGACATCTGTTCGTCACAGGGAAATCTGCTTGGCATGGCTGAGGCCTGGAACATCACCCTCTGAGCCGAGAAATTATGAGTCTTCAGAAATACTTTAAGGATAAAGAGAAATTGATATCAGCAAAAACCTGGCTTGTTCTCCCAGAATACACTAGGCTAGCAGTTCTCATCCAGCTGTCTGGGACCCCCTAGGGGGCTGTGAACATGTTTCAAGGGGTCTGCCTAGCAGGGCCAACATTAGAATCACTGGGGCTCATGGCCGGGGGGCCTGATTCCCACCTCTTGGGGCTGATGCCAAAGCCTGAACAACTTAGCTTTGCAGGCAGCCCTGTGGTATGGAGATTTGGGCCGTGCTGCTGGGCTGTGGAGTTTTCATGCCATGTTGTCGGGGTGGAGGATCCTCAGAAAGAAAGCAGCTTGAGAATCTCTGTGCTAGGCCATCTGGGGCAGCTATTTAGTTGGTGACTGTAAAAGTCAGGAGCAATCAGGGCTCACCGCCTGGCATGGAGAGGGCTAGTGCTGTGCACTGTTCCCCATGCAGCTGTGCCAATGGACCCGAACTCCTCCTCCTTCCTCCTCTTTGCCTCATCCTCTTAATTGCTTCACTCACTGCTGTTCCTGTCCTGTCCTCCCTACCCCCACAACTGCCAACATCTCAGTCTTGACCCAGCATCTGGAAGAGAAAGCATTGGCCTTGAAAGCAACAAGCCAGCGCTCTGAATCAGAGCCGTAGCACCCTCCTCCTCTTCCGTGCTATTTCTAGGGAAGACGGGGCAGGGGAAGGAGAACCAGAGGGATCCTCTGCATTCATTCACCTCGCTGACACTGGCTCTTCCAGAAGCGCTTGCCGAAGATGATGGCGAGTGCCAGCAGCACCAACACAATGATGACCGGTACACTGCTGGTTAGCGCTAGGAAGGTGGCATTTTGGGAGGGCACCAGGGCAGTCCTGGAGCTGCCTGCAAACACATCAGCCAAAGAAATGTGTCAGAGTCGCATCACCACATGGTGTGTGGCAGGATGCTACAAAGAAAGCAGACAGGGCCAGTGCAGCTTGGATCCAGCCTGGAGTGATTACTGCACGACCAGTTACCAGGATATTAAACACATACACACAGATGTCCCTTAGGACAAGAGGGCTCAACCTGCAAGTTAAAAGCACTTAAGGGGCTTAGGAGCCTACTTCCCACTGATGGTCAAAGAAAGTTAATGGACTTAGACACTTAAGTCATTCCTAAGTAGTGACTGCCAGACATAGGGGATATTTAATTACAGCCAGACATAGGGGATATTTAATTACATGCACTCTGGCCTGATCCACTCCTTCCACCTCCGGTCACTCCTAGGAGTCTAAGTCCATGAACTTTTTTTGACTGTCAATGGGAATTAGGTTCCTAAACCCTTGAGGTGCTTTTGAAAATGGAACATTATAATCCAGCGCCATTCAACAGCACAGTATTTTTAGCTCATTTACAGATGGAGAAACGGAGACACAAGCAGTTTAAGTGACTTGTCTGCAGTGAGTGTGACTCATGGGCAGAACCAATTCCCCAGGAGGACTGAGAAACAACAGCTAAAATGATCTCCCGGCTGGAGAATGATTGCACAGCGATGGGGCTGATTTTCCTTCATTTTTAACAATACAAATAATAAAACACTGCAGAGTAAAGAACAGCTGAGCTGTTGTGTCTGACCATATAGATGCCCCCATTTATCATGGCACCTCTGGCCTCACATGCCTCTCTCTTCCCTACATACGCTATCTGTGCTGCCTTGGTTAGAACTTACTGGGGTATCTACTGCAAGAAACTTCAAAACAAAGACTAGACATTCACATGACCAAGTGCAGCCTCTGCAAGGACAGAAACAACAAAAACTCTTAATCTTCATGTTCCAGGGTAAAAGATGATCGACAGTGGGGATCAGGAGGGAATTTTCTTTTGCACACTTAAGGCAAGTCTGCACTACAGAATTATCGCTACGTCCCTTGAAGGCATAAAAAAATATAAACCCCAAACGACGCCTCTTGTGGAGGTAAATTAACTAAGCAGGCAAGAGAGAGCTTTCCCATCAGCTTAGAGCAGTGGTCCCCAATCTTTGGGGCTGCCAGGTGCCTGGGGGGCGGGGCCACGCAAGTGCCACGTGCCCAGGGCTGGCTCGAGCCATTCCTGCGCCCTGGACAGCAGGCGTGCGATGCATGTGCGGCTCCACCCCTGGGCGCACGGCACATGCGCAGCCCCTCCCCCCCAGCGCGTTGCGCACTGTACAGCTGCAACTGAGTATGCGGCGCCTGATGGCAGCTCTAAGGGGTGTCACGTGGCTCCTGGCCCTGGCGCCTGATGGCAACTCTAAGGGGTGCTGCACGGCTGGGTGCGCGGTGCTCCTTACAGCTGCCATCAGGAGCCTCCCCACTAGGTTGGTGCCCTGGGAAGCTTCCCGGCTAGCCCCCCCCCCTTAATTTGGCCCTGCATGTGTACGGGGGTGGTGCCACACATGCGCCACACACCGAGGGGCGGAGCTGCTCATGCGCCACGTGCTCGGGGCGGGGGCTGCGCATGCACCACGCGCCCAGGGCGCAAGAATGGCTTGGGCCGACCCTGATCACTCGGAGGGTGCACATAAATGCCCCAGCGGGTGTCATGGCGCCCGCGGGCATCGCATTGGGGACCACTGGCTTAGAGTGTCTTCATTAAAGCACTGCAGCAGTGCAGCTGCACCAGAGAAGCATTTTTAAGTATAAACCTGCCCTTAGTTATACTATGAGGGGATGGACATCAGATCAAGCATGGAACAGGGCTATTGTCGGAGACAGGGATATTGACTCTCATGCTCCACTGGCCCTCTCCACGCCATCACTCCTCCCACTTCCTGTTACACCTGTAGGGCTGTACCGTGTGCCCTGTGACATGACACGTTACATAGTGAAAGGCAGCAGGTTGGAGTGCTGCTGGGTACATACATTGAGGCTCAGAGGAAGGGGTCTGCTTTGTGCAGGGGATGCATTCCAGATCCTGCAGCCCGCCAATCCGGGTTTTCCTGTAAAACCTGCCAAAGAGAAAGCAGAGAATGTTTTAGCAACTGGACATGCAGTTAAGGAATTGTATATATCATCTTTTTGAACAGCACCTCCCTGAGTCCTACACGTGCGTCTGTTGCTACTCACTAGGGATGTCAAATATCGGTTAATTGAATAGTCGAGTAACCTCATGAATTCTTATAGGTTACTCGACTATTCTACAGTCCCTGGGGGCAGGGCTGGCAGCCAGTGCTTTCCGGCCTCACTCTTGAGGATTCCCCTGTCATTCCAGGCTGCTGCATCTCTATCAGAGGCAGCAGTGCAGGGTGCCAGGTGGTGGCTGGTCCACAAGGAAAGCCAGTTTAAAAACCAGCTCCCCACACAGACTGGCTGACTGTCATCTTGTGCTGCTACCTCTGATAAAGAGGCAGCAGCATGGGGTGGCAGCAGCTCCTGTCTAGGGTTGGTCTGAGCTCCCGGACCCAATGTGAGCTGCAACTAACCCAGGCTACCTGCTCCTAATACACTTTAAATGCAGAGCTGCATCAGGGGTAGGTCCCAGACCTGTTTCAAGCCAGGACTGAGCCAGACTGCTGGCAAGCCCACTAAAAAAATGTACAGGCAGTCCCCGGGTTACGTACAAGATAGGGACTGTAGGTTTGTTCTTAAGTTGAATCTGTATGTAAGTCGGAACTGGCGTCCAGATTCAGCCGCTGCTGAAACTGATCAGTTTCAACAGTGGCTGAATCTGGACACCAGTTCTGACTTACATACAGATTCAACTTAAGACCCCCAAGTCAGCTGCTGCTGAAACTGATCAGCAGCTGATTCCAGGAAGCCCGGGGCAGAGCAACTCTGCCTGGGGCTTCCTGT